AATGGTACTTTTATTTATTATAAAGTAGTAATTTGTTAATTAAAATACAGCGTTTTATTTTTACTGTATTGGCACCGCTGAATTCACGGCCTACTGTTATTTATTTATCAAGCTCTTCAAATGGAGATAGGTAAATAAATACACATTTAATTTTTTCCCGTATTTTCGGCCGGGTTGTATTTTCGGCCGAGGTAGTAAGAAAAATAGTATACACTACACGGGCAGAAAGTGTGAGAGTCCTGAACTGCGCGCCATGATGCCCTCGGCTTCGCCTCGGGCATCATGGCGCGCAGTGCAGGAATCTCACACTTTCTGCCCTTGTAGTGTAATATACTATTTTCGGTGTTTTACAAGCAAAATAAGCGAAAAAAAGACAAAGAAAAGTGGTAGTTATATGTAAATATATCGAATTTGTCATTTTTAAATAATTTTAACGTTTAAACTCTATTTACTGGAATATACACAATTATTTAAGACTTTCTGAAAATTGTTAAAATGAATAAATAAATTAAAAATCGCGGTGTCCCGATTTAAAAATGACATTCTATAGTGTGTAGTTTTTGTAGTATTTTGTTTGACAAAAGTGAAAATAAAGTATGTGAGTGCATGGATTTTGACGATTAGACGACAGGAAAATGATTTTCAAGGTAGACATTCTCATTTTGGGTTTTTAAATGTGTTTTTAGATTGTTTGATTTTGATTCCTAGGTAGGTTCAGGATGAGGCTAGTTAAGGTAGTTAGGTACCCTGCATGAGGGTAAGTACATGTTTTATTATTTATTTTACTACTCCCACCTTAAAAACGCCCATTATAGTAGATTTTTAGTGACCTTTTAAATACATATTGACAAGCTGTGACTTTATGGCGTTTAAGCTGGGTTTAGTTGGGTTTAAATTAATTGACAGTTGTCAAACGACATACAATCGTCAAAAGTGCCCTTTTTTGTGTGCGAAAAACTGCTTCTATATCGGATTTAAACAGTTGTTAGACCATTTTACGGAACAGCCTGTATATAATTAAAATAATTTTAAAATAAATAAATAATCTTAATGGTTGTCCATTTATTCGGTGAATAATTTTTTCATAAAAATATACTCTCTAGCTGTTATCGAGTCTGTTGCCGAATACCGCACAGTGGTCTGAGAGGTAAATTTCGTATTGTTTTTTTTTATGTTTTATATTTAATAATTTATTTATTAAATAAATACATATGTTTATAGTTCGTACCAGGGGGCGATTGCAACATGGCGCGAGCATAATTTTTTATCATGAATAACCAAAAAACCATTACCTTCAAAGTATCAAAAATATATTATTATATCAACATGTTACATTTCACCATATTTCTTTTTAACAACCCTTTAGCCAATATCGTGATGGTTGACAATAGGAAAACTTATTATTTTTATTATGCGTTAAATACTCTTGCTTGAATGAGATTCCCATAGAACAATAATTATAATTATTGTACTAACCTCTTAAAGCACTTTGCTGTTTTTTTATTTTCTGAGCACCCTGGACATTTAATTAAAAATGTTTTTTGGGAATCTCATTTTTAAATACAAGCAGAAGTTTTTATGAAGATTTTTTTCGATTCCGTTACGAATGTCTTACCAAATTTCTCTCTTATTTTGATATATATATATATTTTAATTTCTGAGCACCCTGTATATATAATTCATCTTTTTATGAAAGTCTTAATTTTTAACCATCAAATATTTTCAAAAAGAATTAATTTTTCCAAACGCACTTCTAGTTTTTTGTTTTTTTTTTAGTTTCTGAGCACCCTGTACATTTAATTCAAAATGTTTGTGTAGGAATCTTATTTTTGAAACAAGCAAGAGTTTTTAAAAAACATGTTTTTTTTCGTATCATACCTAATAAAAAAGTTTTTTCTATTATCATTACCATCCGTGGGCACACTGTATAATATACAAAGTATATTAAAAAAATAATATTATGTAATAGGAGTAAAGAAAATTGTATTACCATTCTTAAATGCAATAATTATTGTCAAATTAAAAAAATATATTACTTTTATGACCAGGTTAGCGGTAATTTGTCGGCCATTTTTCATTTTTGCATAACTCTCTTATAGGCGCATAAAGGCAGATGAATTTTTATAAAGTCGGAGCTGGAGGTTCATATTTTCGAATGCACTATGTGGTTCTGGGCAAGTAATTATAAATTTTTACTTATATTCCATTTATTATTTGTAATTACAAAACTTGAGATTTTATATGTTAAAAAACTCTATATTTTTGACAAAAAATCCAGAACAGACATTTTAAAGTTATATTTGTACTCAACTTTATCCCTACTATAACTTTTTGACACTAATTTTCACTATTATATTTATGCAACACCTTTTTTACTCGAAAAAGACAAGATTCCGAAAGTAAGAGTATTTTTGACAATCTTTTCATGTATTTGCTATAACGCAACGCATACGCAGTAAATTCTACTTCGCAGTTTAAAATCTTAGGTAATAATCTGTCACGAACAATAAAGAGGCATCAAAATGCGTTTTTAAATTGTTTTAAAAATTGGATTTTTGCCGCGTAAATTTGCCTCTCAGACCACTGTGTACCGTGGATAACATTTTATTGGATCGCGACCACAAAAAAATGACGTGATCTGAAGAAACGCCGAGACACGGGTATCGTTTTTTTAAGTCTATTTTCAAAATCTATAAAAAAATTTCATGGGAGGGAATAAAAATAAAATTTTGTCGTACTGTGTAATAAGTGTTAATTTTCGAATCCTCAAATCGTAAATGTCATTAGAGAAGAAACAATCTTAGTTATTAGCTGGCGAGATCAACAGTAACCCCTTAAAAGTCTATTATTTTTTTTTATTCCTTTTAGATGTCTACAGGTGAAAAAAACACGAAATTTGTTATAGCGTGCTTTAATTTTAAACATGAAAGCTTTTTCTTTTGTGTCAAAGAGAGGCATATTAGAAACAGAATCTGGAAAATGTATCGCCTTGTCGGTAAGACGAACCGTCGCCTAAATCTAATTGGTAAAATTCAATTTTAAATGCACTTTGTATCCATTGAGTTTGCTTCAAAATCCATTATGCAAGTGCAGTACGTGTCTATAAATGATAAAGGTAATTAATTTCAAGATATGCATCTTTTTTAAGCATGCGGTGTGTGCAATATAGGTATATCCAGAAAAAAGTTAAATGAAGGCCCTGAAATAATAATAAAAGGCAGTAAAGTCGTATTTTTTATCACGAATGTGGTAATTATTCGAGGCGAAAGCCGAGGCAAATAACCACCATTAAATTTTATCCGAAATCACATTTATTAATATTGATGATTAAATCAAATGTCATTTGATGATCAAATCATATAACAAATATATACAGTTCATTTTTTTTATCTGGACTCGTGTTTTTTTGTTAGGTTGGTGGCTTATGCCAGTTTGACTTGGTATTTTTAGTATTTAAAAATTGTACTTCTGCTAAAGAATTTATTGAAATACTTTGACACTGTCAAATTGACAATAATATTTATTATTGATAATTTACTTGTCAATTATAAATAAAAAGATAATTATGCCAAAAATAATAGCAATTCGAATGTAAAAGCCCTTTTGAGGGCAAAACTTTATTTTGATAAAATTATGCCAAATGCCACAATGGAAGAAAAATTACATCGCCTTATGGACATTTTTGGAGTAAAAAAGTAACGAATTTGGTTTTATAAATATTACATCACACATTATTTTAACCATTGGACAACATTTACGTTCACTAAAAATTTTAATTTCTTTTATATAAATTCTTTTCAAAGCGAAGATTTTTTGAATACTTTCTCTTCTGGACCGTAAAGCAACCTAAATTTAACTACTTTTTTTATATGATTTTACTGATCCAAGCACCACCAAAGCCAAATTAATTGCAAAGCCAAATTAATTGCATTTTTAACTACGAATTTCGACAACTCAACTTGACAACTGCACAATGTAACCTACAATAATTTATACATAACCACAATTAGATTTATAACTAGCTTAGTTTGTTTTAATCAATGCGACCAATTTTGGTTCTTTATTTACCAACCAAAACCCTAAATTTGCAACGTTGCCGCAGTCCAGATAAAAAAAATGAACTTTATATATATATATATGGATCAAATCAAATGTCATTGGAATGTAGGAAGTGTTTACGTATACTGTTTGTTGCGACGGTTAATATATATTTGCCCGCCGCGGCGATTTTTTAATCTAATTAATAAAATTAACTTATTATTTTTATTAAACAACATTTTATGAAAGGGTCCAATCAACCTAGTTGCTGCTTAGGAGCAGTAGACACATCTTAAAATGTATAATGGGTTGCATACAATTCTCGTATTAAATCGGCAGTAAAAGTATACTTTACTGCCGATTTCTTTTACTTTACTGCCGATTGTTGACTACTTTACTGCCGATTTCGGATAAAAGTGTTTTTTTTTCATTCCCAGTTGTGATTTTGATAGGTTTTTTAATTTAACCAACCCTGTATATTTAAAAAAAATCAGACTTTTTCGTGTCCTGCGCCTTAAAGCGATTGTACCAATTTTTAAATTTAGAAAACTGCGCATGCGCAAACTTGTTCTACCATTTTTTTAAATTTGTGCTATCGTGCGAGTTTTTTTCGTGAACGTATGGTGTATTTTGTAGCGAATTTTTGCCACACGTGCATGTGAATTTTGTTTATAAAATGGCGAATGCACCGGGAATAATTTTTTATTAATTAATTCCCAGCCTTGGGAATATGATAAAAATGTTTAATTACGTCTACGATTCATAAATTACGACACGTCCGGGAGCTTGTAAAATACGTGCGAAAAATGTAATGATGAGGATACGTCAAACGGTGCAGATTTGTATTGGGGAGCAAAAAAACGGGCCTTTTTCCTAAAATTTATTTTTAAAGAAATAATGCGATTTAAAAAGTTGCTCATCAGTTATAGATATTATTTTATAAATTATAACTTTTTTTTCAGTCTGGAAATACCCCTCTCCATATGGCTTGTCAAGCAAATGAGGCAGAGACAGTAGAAATTGTGATACAAAAAGGAGCAGACCTTAACTGTCTAAATACGGTAAGTAACAAGTTATATTTAAAATAATACAAAAATATTGTTGAAAACGTTATAAAATACAAAAACATTTGACAAAAAAATTTGTTCAATGTTAAATATAATGCTTTTTTACTCAAGACTTATTATATCTACACGGAAAAAAATAATCGGTAGAGGCTACCGATTGGCAATCGGTAGCAGCTACCGATTGCCAATCGGTAGACTCTACCGAAAAAATCGGTAGTCTCTACCGAAAAAAAATCGGTTCCCTCAACCGATTTTTATCGGTAGTAGCTACCGATTATTATTCGGTAGAGTCTATCGATTTTTTCGGTAGCCGTAACCGAGAAAATCCGCATCGATGCGCTGTTAGAAAATTAAAAAGAAATATTAATACTTAAAATTATTAACATTTAAAAATAATATTAAACATTATTCAAGTTAATAAAAATTACTCTTTTCAGTCAAACATTTTGAGATGGTATTCATTGTAATTATTAAAAAATGCTATTCAAAGAAATGGGTTGTTATCATCTATTTAAAAGAAAGTTTATTTATCCAATTAGAAATACATACACACCGATAAAAATAATTCTCAATTATTTTACTTTTTGTAGTTGTAAAGTTTTTTAAAGTAAAAATAGCGAAAACAATGGTAAGAAAAGGTACTAAGGTAGGCATTAGGGTGGGCCGAAAATCCGCTTTTTTAGAATTTCGTTTAGTAATAGCAAAAATTTTGTTCATTATGTTGTAAAAAAAATTTGTGTAAAAGATTAAAATTTTCGATCAACATCCTAGGCTCGCCCAACGCAATTAAAGATCAAAATATTCAACAAAAAATTTTCTTAACTTATTTCTATCGGAAATTTTATGCTCTTCAAAAAAGGTCCTTACACAAAATTACTTCAGATGGATAGTTTCAGAAATTTGTTCATTAAGTATGTTGTAAAAAAAATTTGTGTAAAAGATTAAAATTTTCGATCAACATCCTAGACTCGCCCAACATAATTAAAGATCAAAATATTCAACAAAAAATTTTCTTAACTTATTTCTATCGGAAATTTTATGCTCTTCAAAAAAGGTCCTTACACAAAATTACTTCAGATGGATAGTTTCAGAAATAAACCCGATTTTAGTATCAAATTTTTTTTGAACATTTTGATCTTTAATTGCGTTGGGCGAGCCTAGGATGTTGATCGAAAATTTTAATCTTTTACACAAAATTTTTTTACAACATAATGAACAACATTTTTGCTATTACTAAACGAAATTATAAAAAAGCGGATTTTCGGCCCACCCTAGTAGGCATTTAAAACTACTACAAAAAAGTAACATTCTTTAGTAAAATTTACCATTACAATGTGTCATCTTTTGTTGTAACATGGTGGTTACTAGTGCAACTCAGAAAAATTACTTAATAAATAAGCTGTTTTTACCACTACAAGTAGTACGTTCCAAGATTTTACCACAACATTCGTTGTTTTAAAAAATTAATTGGTTATTAATCGGTAAGAACAGTTTTTTTGTGGGTTAGAACCCGCTTGAATCTAGATGTTACATCCATTGTCTCAGTTAAAGCAAAGCAAAGTGGACGTGTTTATCTAATGGAAAACTTACTGGAAAATGGGATTTACAGGAGTTAATTCCTGTATTTGTAGGTGAGGAAATATGTAGAATTCCTTAAGGTATAAATTAATCTAGTTAGAGGTTATTATATTAATGCACTGTTTGATTTTTATATCTTTATGGAAAAATTGGAAAATATTGTGCTATCCGATGATGCAATTATATTCATTTGCAAGAAATATAGGTTCTAATAAGCACTATTGTGCTTACAAAGTTTTTAGAACCAATGACAGTTTTTGCATAGACATAAAATCCATTTATGCACAAGCTTTAATTTTTCTAAAAAAAAGGATTTTGTTAGCATGCATGTATGCTAAGTTATTTTTGTTTTGTAATGTTTTTAATTTTTTATAAAAAAATTGTATTTTTTTAAGCATTTTGTGGCGGCTAGTGGATTTTGGGACCCACACCAAATTTATAAGAGTTTTTAATGACATTAAATAACAAAGTTCTTTGAAAGAAGAATTTGACTTAAAATTTGCGAAAAAAGTTAGGTTTTTAGACAGAAGCCCCCTGCTCTCCCTTATTAATTTAAATCAAATTAAATTGGTGTAATTTATCCAAGTACAATCTTAGAAAAGACCTGGTATTTGCAATGAAAATTTAGTTCCCAGAACCAATTTTATTAGTGAAAATAGACACAACAAAAAAATATGTTGTGGGAACTAATGCAAATTTGTTTTTACAGTTTGTTGTCGGAACAGCCAATATTGGTAGCTCCAACCAACAAGTTTAAGTGCATTGAAATTAGTTTTTTTTCATACAAATAATTGATATTTAATGCAATCACATTAGTCTGTCATTTTAGCAGCGTCTAAGTTGTAACAACTGCACTTGCTATTTATCGCAACAAACATTGTATCATGCAGGAATTATTTTTTAATTGAAATTACATGAAAAAAGGTACATTTAAAGAATTGAATAGTTGATATAATATAAATTTGTTTTGTACTGTAACTAAGTTTTATTTAATATTAAATGCTTGCATTAGTAGCAACAACAAATTGGTAATATTCCACAGTACATACCTACCTGCTTAGTAAATATAACACTTTTTGTGTAAATATTATAAAAAATAGAGAAAGGAAATTCATGCCCGTTCGTTTTATAAATATTTATTATAAATTAAAATATAACAATATAACTGAAAACACCAAATTTTGGTTTAAACATTATAACAAAAATTAATAATTACTCTAAGAAAACATTTATAAATATTTTAACAATAAAACAAAAACGATTCTTTGGTAAATATACAGAGATAGGTACATTAAGATGAAATTTGACTATACTTCTTCAGTAAACCGTGATGTTTACGTGAAGTGCAAGCCTTTGTTTAACAACTTAACAATGATTCTTAGGTACAACGTAACATACTTGCATGATAACAGGGGTAAGCATTCGATAAATTTTGAGTGTGAGTGCCTATAGTATAGGCCCTATACCAAAAATGCGACTTGAGCTGTAACAAAACAAAACAAAAAATTCTCGAAATTCCGACGTGATGGAGACTTTTGGTGCACTCTTAGAAAAGACCTGGTATTTGCAATGAAAATTTAGTTCCCAGAACCAATTTTATTAGTGAAAATAGGCACAACAAAAAAATATGTTGTGGGAACTAATACAAATTTGTTTTTACAGTTTGTTGTCGGAACAGCCAATATTGGTAGCTCCAACCAACAAGTTTAAGTGCATCGAAATTAGTTTTTTTTTTCATACAAACAATTGATATTTAATGCAATCACATTAGTCTGTCATTTTAGCAGCGTCTAAGTTGTAACAACTGCACTTGCTATTTATCGCAACAAACATTGTATCATCCAGGAATTTATTTTTTAATTGAAATTACATGAAAAAAGGTACATTTAAAGAATTTAATAGTTGATATAATATAAATTTGTTTTGTACTGTAACTAAGTTATATTTAATATTAAATGCTTGCATTAGTAGCAACAACAAATTGTACATACCTGCTTAGTAAATATAACACTTTTTGTGTAAATATTATAAAAAATAGAGAAAGGAAATTCATGCCCGTTCTTTTTATAAATATTTATTATAAATTAAAAAATAACAATATAACTGAAAACACCAAATTTTGGTTTAAACATTATAACAAAAATTAATAATTACTCTAAGAAAACATTTATAAAAATTTTAACAATAAAATAAAAACGATTCTTTGGTAAATATACACAGATAGGTACATTAAGATGAAATTTGACTATACTTCTTCAGTAAACCGTGATGTTTACGTGAAGCCTTTGTTTAACAACTTAACAATGATTCTTAGGTACAACGTAACATACTTGCAACATAACAGGGGTAAGAATTCGATAAATTTTGAGTGTGAGTGCCTATAGTATAGGCCCTATACCAAAAATGCGACTTGAGCTGTAACAAAACAAAAAAATTCTCGAAATTCCGACGTGATGGAGACTTTTGGTGGACACCATTGGATTCAGGAGGCCATTTTCAGTCGGAATGGCATTTTCACATTTTTGGATTTTTTTTCGGACCCCAAAACTACAATAGTGTAATTAAAGGAGTGCAATAATAATACCTAACCTTTAAAAACTAAAACCAATTCAGGTAAACCCCATGTTCCTAATAAATCTGCTACTTCAGTCCGCTCATCCATATTATTTGTTCGAGATATCTATAAGTAACCAACACATAAGAATATATTCTTATATACATGAATAGTTAAAAAGTATGTCGCCACTGAATTTACAGGGGCAAATGACTAATTGTAATAAACTAGTTTCTTACCTAAAATATACACTACACACGAGCTGATTCGCAAATACAAAAGAACAAACACCACCGAAGTCTGGACGCCGTGCAACACCGTTTGTTTACAGGTTAAAAGTAAAGCACGCGCCGGGCTGGACAAATCGCGCGCGAAATGCACAGTTTGCAGTTGCATTAACCTACAACATCCCCAACTGACACTTTGTTTCACACCGCTGGTGTCTTAGCTGAGTGAAAAGTGACGCATAGTTTATACAACCGAACCGTTAGTTCCACGGACTAATTTCAGTAAGTTGAGAATGTTATTTAAATATTTGGTCCAACAAAAACATTTTACTGCCGAAATGATTTTTTTTAGATAATGTTGTCAATACTTCTAGCCAACACAAAGTTTCAGTTAAAATAACTTAATCGCCTTTTTGCAGTAAATAATACTCAACAACAAAACTAAATCTTTTCAGGTAATGATGCAAGCAGTTACACATATAAAGGTACTGATTACAAAAAACAAAAAATTTTATTTTCTGCAACAGTTTTACCCCAACGATAATAAGTTAGTTACAAATACCAGGTCTTTTCTAAGAGTGTGGGCACCATTGGATTCAGGAGGCCATTTTCAGTCGGAGTGGCATTTTCACATT